AAGACTATAACTCTCCGGGCTTCAGGAAACACCTATGGTTTAGTAGTGGGGAGGCTCCTGGGTGTGCCCCCAGTCCTTCTCTCACTCTTGGGAACAGACATCCTTTCTCTCCTCAGCGTTCCTGCTCTCATCCCCTGCTCCTTTTGTTCTTAAGCACTACCTCTTTCCATCTGCTCCTCCTTGATAAGAACTTGCTACAAGCTCACTACACCTTGTCCCGATGGTCCCATAACTCTTCCCCCGCCTGACTTCATGAATGATGGATGAATGCACAGACTGGGCACTCTTCCCTTCACCCCCCGTCCCCGGACTCTGAAATATGGCTTCTGTACACACAGTTGTGCGAAGCTGCTTTTCTGACTGTCACCAGGAAAGACTGTTCATTGTCTATTTGCAGTTCTCTACTTTTGATCCTTCCATTCATCGTCACTCAAAGCCATTGACACATTCAATGAGGGGACACAGACTACAGGATAAGCATGGTAGCTTTGGTCCTAGTACTCATGAGCTTGGTACCTCACAGGAAAGCTGTTAAGGCCCATCTCCGTGCTGAGGCAAAAGGATTCTGCATGCTGTAAATCAGATTCCATGTCTGGGTCCTGATTCAATGTCTAACTCAGGGTGCCTCTCTGGAGTTTGACTAGCCCTCTCACAGTTCCCCTAGGCTTTCTGCTTTCATGTTAATTCTCTCCTACTTGTCTGAAAGGCCCATTCCTACATTCCTTATTTGATTCTCTTTTTAACCCATACCTGTAGCTAAGTGCTGAGATTTTATCTCTGGGTTGATGGTCTCCTTCCCATTCTCTATCTTATTGCAAACAAGAGGTGATATTTACTGTGACAACACAATACACTGAGATATGTCCCAATACTTTCAAAGATGTTCCAGAGATATCCCCAAATCCACTTCTGCAAAACAAAATACTATTCACTTTCCTGGGCTAACCTCTTTTTCTCTCTTTTGCAATTACCAGCTACCAAATTACCAAACACACCATGCTTTCTGGAATGTTCCTTTTCCTCACCACTGTGGTGAGTCTGAAAGCAAATTCTGCTTTGCTCGATGCTGATGTCTCACACTGGGACTTTCATATTGTAACTCCAGATATGTGAACTTGGTCATGTGGCCTATGTACAGATCCACAAGTTCTATTATGGGTGTCTCAATCACGGGTACCTGACCAACATACAGGGATGCCAAGATGCCATGAGCGCTTCAAATGAGACCCTAGAGCTTACGAACCTTGGATCCCAACTTACTCAGTTCAGTAAATAAGGATATTTTGACAAGGATGAGGAATGGGGAAAGAGTCACATTCACTGTAATCTATTACATGTCAGGAAATAATTGTGTGTTCCTGCCTCTGTGTCCAAGATTTGCTCCTAAACCTGGTTTCTTCAACATATGTTTTTAAATGATGGCTCAGTGCTGTTCACAGTGGCTCTGTGGAGAAGCAGCATTTCTTCACAGATAAGGCTGAGAAAACGTGTTCTTACTTTAATCTGCAGCCTCTAGCTCAAAATTTTTGTTGTGACTGGCCACCAAAAGTGGGTCCCTTAGAGAAGCAGAGAACATGACTCTTTTATCCTAATGCAGAGTCCTTACCTTGTGGCTGAACTTCTCACTCACTAATTTAGCTATCAGTCCAATGAACATGTGTTGACTCTATCAGCCCTGGGCTAAATGTTGAAGACATACATAGTAGTGAAAGCCCTTCTTGGTTTTCAAGAAGCAGAAAACCAAACCCAGAAATGCATGCTGAGGGAGGGGAGGGTGATGTAGGGCCTAAGAAAGAGCATAGCAGGTTTTACTGTATCTCTTGTTTCCCAGATATATCTCCTCCTCTTCCCCACCACTACTCCACCCTCCCCACCATCCCTGTCATTTCACATTTATATTTTCCCACAGTAAGCTCCAGGCCAGCAGCCTCACCATCTCCAATTCATCCTCCACGCTGTGGTCATGGTCATCAGCCTCTCAGACATTCTCCACCTTCAAAGGCTCCTAGCCTTTACATAAAATTGAAGCTCTTTTGCCAGGGTGGGGTGGGGATTCCTGCTTATTTCTCTGACATGTTGTTATTCCACTCCAAGGAGATAAGAGCCCGCGTCCCTTGCTGCGGCTGCACAAGACTCCTTCCAGGACTCAAATACTCTTTCTTCTGGAAAGTCGTAGTCACTGCTCAAGACTCCCCTCACGTCAAACTCTCTAAGAAACCTTTTGATCTTCCCACCCTTTCTTTGCTGGAAGCTCTCCCTTTGTGCTTTCATTGCATCCTGGCCATCTCTCTGTACAAGCACTCACTCCACAGCCTTGGCTGTTAATTGGTGCCACCCAGGTGCTGCTCTTCCCTGTATGGCTCTAGGCACATGGGATGACTTACAGTTACCCAACTTATATCAAGCATCACACATTTCCTCTGCCTGGAATGACCTTTCAGTCCTCCACTTCCTGCAACGACCAGTGTTTTTTTGTTTTGTTTTGTTTTGTTTTGTTTTGAAAAGTATCCCAAGGATTGCATAGATGCTCCAGGGGAAGAAAAGCAGTCCACGACCTGCATGTTAGCCTGTTGCTTACCCTACGATCATAAGTCAGATTCCGCCTTCTCGAAGACTCAAAGAATGCTTTCCTGTGTTTTGCCTTTTGTTTTATTTGTTCCTTCAGTAACAAGTACTTTTGTGCATTTTCTAATGTTGAGAAAAGCCAGAGGGAGGGAGTGGTGTGTACAGGTCATACGTCAGGAACTCGGTGCAGACACTCTGCACTCCCACAAACAACTTCATGTGTTAACCTCAGACTTGCCACAGCACCGCAAGCACTCTGAGGGGCAGAGCTCTGTTCTATGTTTTATAACAGCTTCTGGTACTAAATACAGGGCATGTGGTCAATGAGCACCTTCCATCAGAATCTGTGTGCTATAAAAATGAGTGAGCTTGCAAATGAAGAAAGAGAAAATGCACCAAAGCAGAGCAGATGAAAAAAAAAAAAAAAAAAAAGCCCTTCATCTTTTCTTGCCATGATTTATGAGAATAATGATAACACTGTCACCCTGAAGTAAAAAAGAAAACAAAACAAAATAATTTGACAATTATTTTCAAACTGGAAAGTATTTGGGGGAAGATCTTTCTTTCCCTAGTTATTTGAAAAAGACAAAACAAAAACACTTTCAGATTTCTCTCTTGCTGAACGCTTTAATAAACTCATGAAGCCTGTTTTAATCCTGTTCCCCTTTCTCAGTCCCCTCTCCTTTCATTTTTCCTTTCTTCTTCCAAACCTCACCTCCTCTGGCTATGCTTATGAAGCAAGCTCTTATGTGTGAACTTTCTCAGTTAAAGCTCATATATGTCACAGTTTCTCGAATTTCAAAGTTGCCAAGTTTTCAAAGCAAAACCTTTCCCTGTTTGCAGCAGCAGAAAGAGATGGTCTCCACTTGCCACCTAGAAGTGAGGAAAAACCCCTTGACTATCACCCAGTCACTGATAATGGATGCAGGCTCCCAGCATTTCCCCTGTCAGCCCTAGCTTGGCTTCCCTTACAAACACCGGACAGAAGAAACAAAACTGTACCCGCACACATCTGTCCCACCTTCAGTTCAAACACGGCAGGACAGAGAAACCTCAACACACACGCTTCCTATACCTAAAACATCAAACTTGTTATTAGTGGTAAAGGCAAGCCTAGAAACCACCAAGTCTTCCGTGTTCCGGATATGACAACCCAGGCGCCTCCAAACGGGATCCCGTTCCATGAGCAGGAACTGCCAACCACAGCCCCAGAAATGAGAATGAATTCAGCGAAGGCTTTACAGTGCCTGGCACTGGCCCTCATCCTGCCATAATTGGCTTCTGTTCACACCTATCTTAAATGTCTGTGGCTTGTCCCTCTTTTACTCCTCTTTGTCCTAGCCTCACCTGCTGACCCAGTGTTGGCTACCTCAAAGGACCATTAGATTCCAGGCTCCCTTTCCTACCTCCACCCCACCCTCCACACAGGCCTGCCCTTTGCTCTCTGAGAGTTCGCCCAAGCAGGACTGGCTTTTCGAAAGGAAATTCTGTTCTCAGGACCCTTTCCCTGGTGCAGAAGAGAAATGGAGCCTTGCCAGCCCACCAACTAATTAACCAGGTGACAAAGCACCTCCACAGAAAAGGCTGAAAGCAAAAACGATAGCTCCACAAAGACAAATCACGGCCCAGAATCCTACACATATTCTACACGTGTGTGCCACAAAACCCAGGGCAAAAATAAATCCCCAGATTCACTCGACACCACTGCCACCACAGCTGTCTCAGTTCAGCTCCCAGAGCCTCTGCAGTGGTGTGTGTGAAGACAGCGCCTTCCCCTGGGAGCAGGGACCCCGGGGCCCTGCGTTTCTAGGATGTGATTATGCCAACCCTTTCAGTAACTCATCATTCATCCGGCACTGACCCGAGCCTCACCCTAGAAACTCAGTTCCTGGTGTCGACGAGAAAGCCCTCGGGTATGCCAGTTCTGGAGCTCAGGAAAGAGAACCTCAGGTGCCCACGCCTGAGGCGAAATCAATGGCACCGCTTTCGGCTAGGGGCTGAGAAATCCCAACCCGGGTTAGGTGGGCGGGTTTGGCATCAGCTACCTGCAGGTCTCGGAACCACCGCTCCCACCCCTGCAATTCCTCTGGGCGTACCAGCCCAGAATGCAGTCTGAAGGGCGGAACCGGACAGAGAGAGCGCCTCCACGCCCCCTTTGTCTCCACGTTTGCCAAATGACAGAAGAGGAAAGTTTACGAGCCTGGAAGGGATAGCTTTCTTCTGGGTCCATCTGGCACCTCGAAGGTGCAGATTCTCCCTGGGATCGCCTCTCCTCCCCGGAGCAACCAGGACACTATCTTCATCTGCACCTTGCAGCCGCAAACCAGGCGCGGGCCACCTGCGTCCAGCAGTTGGGTCGGGAACCTGGCCTCCCCGCGCCCCCCGTCTGTGCAGGCTTAGCTGTCCCCCGAGCTGCGGGCGGGCGCCACACTCACCTTTGGCGGCCAAGCTTCCTGCCTTGCGCCCTATTGGGCGGCCTGGCTCCGGGCAGCGAGGTGCATTCAGGCAGCGGCTGCAGACAAGCTCCCCGGGCGCTGCTGCATTCCGCCTGCGTGGGAGAGAGAGCGGTTCAGCGCGTGGCGCGGGCGTGTGCGAGTGTGTGTTTGTGCGGTGTGTGTGTGTGTGTGTGTGTGTGTGTGTGTGTGTGTGTGTGTGTGT